AGGCCATTGACCACAACCTTAGAGTTCCTGCACATTCCTGCTGGGTATGCCAAGAATGCAAGACCCTGACTGCTCTTTTCATGAGTCATTTCTCAAGGTTGTGTTTGCAACAAGCAAACTTGAAGGACAGGGTAATGTCTTCATGACAGAGCTGGCTTGTTTCTACTTACTATAGCAGTGGTTAATCCATAAGCTCAATGTTTCTCAATGCCCACTTGCTTGCACAGCTCTCATAATCAATCCATTGGTGTTATCAGCACTGCCCCCAATGGATTGAGAGGGAACGGAGAACCAGGTAAAATCAACATGAAGCTCATATCGCTGATTGTACCATAAGTAATAAAAGTCCTTAGTCTCTAATAAGGAGTTTTGTATCTTCTGCCACTATTTATGATACAGTAATGGGTTAGCTTGCTAGCTTGTAAATAGAGTGAAATCTCACTCCTTTTACAGATCTTAACACATACCAGCTTGACCTTTGGCAAGTCACTCTCTCAGTCTCGATTTCCTTATCCACAAAATATCTATTAAATATTGTAATATTATTGCAATATCAACATGATAGCATCTTGAACAAATGAGATAATATGTGGCAATGATAATATGTAGCTATAAAGTGCTGCTACAACACCACCTGAAAATTCTCCAAACCAGTTCCATCATGAGGCACCCTAACATCTCAACTTGGGACTTCCAACGTGTCAAAGAATACATGACTTACACTTTGGCTCCCCAAACTCTTGCTATATTTTTAAGATTACCCTTTGGATACCTTGAGTCCCAAAGAAAATTAAATATAGACCCCCTATGTCATGAATAGAAATGTAATACAACAATGAACATTACTGCATACACGTATGCATATACATACAGATATACATACATATATTGCTATGCAAAGACAATAAATCTGGATATCTTTACACATTCATTCATAAAAAGTTAGAATCCTCAAATTAGCCTTTTCATAGTAATAAATAATCAAGCCCCAACCATCCCTCTACTTTTTTCAGTATAGGGTACAATAGAAAACAAAATAAGAATTTTTATTCTTTTAACACTATTATCATTTTTTTCTATAGACATATAACCAGTAAGGAAATTTTGTTGAGGAAGGAATAGAACTAAGGTCCTCAGTAACAACTCTGTTTAAAGCAGGGGATTAAATTATTATGGTACAATTTGTCCTTATGTTTAATTAAACTGAATTAAATGCGACTAGAATGTTGACAAATGACTAATCTGATTTGTAGCTACTGAAGGAATGCTGACCAAAGGAAAATAAATAAGTTCATGCTATTATAATTTTACAACTTCCTATAACATATGTGTGCAGAAACTTATACTTTTTTTTTCAAAATTACAAGACTAGCGCCAACATCACTCATAATCTAAGTCCAAGGATGCAAACAATCTAGCTTAAATTTTTAAATGCATATGGTTTTTGTAGTACTTTTCAGATTCTCTTATACTCCCACCCCTTGTATTCCTCTGTTCCACATTTTATTAAAAACATCACAAGGGATAAGCCTTTCTTTTGCTCATTTATTGGTCAAGTTATTTCTTCCTACAAATAGAAGAGAAATAACATAAAACATGTCTTCCTTTTTGTCACTAGCCATTGCTGATTTGTTGTCCTGTTAGAAAGTACTATTGTCCTTAATCAGTGGTTTCATAGATGTGACAAATTTTTCCATTATCTAAATGTCTTTGTAAACTGTCTCTCCTCTTTCGCTTGAGTTATTCTGATCTCATCCCCACAAGATTGTGGTAGTTCTCCAGTTTACTTAATAATCTGACCTGATTCCCACTTTGTGTAGTTCTTTTACTTGCACGTATCTGTAACTAGCCCACTTGGCATGTTGGTAACCTTTGTTCTTCCTATAGAACACCAATAAATCTATCCTCTGTACAGGTCTTTTGCCTTTCTTTATCTTATTTATTGGTGTTTTGGATGATCATTATGTTGGATGCTACTTACTGGTGTTCAATTTCATTTCTTGATGTTAATTACATCTTACTAAATTTCTTCCATTTCCCCAAAATTAGAACAGCTATCATTTGTCATCACAACTGAGCCACTGGGGTTTTCTGGTCCATTTTTTAATCCTCCTCTAGTTCATTCCAGTTAGTAGATACCACATTAAGGAAGCATCTGCCCTACTTTAACTCTCCATCTTCTGTTCTAGAAAAGAGTTTCTAACACACCATAAAAACTTGTTGGACCATTTGTGGACTTGCTGAATTGTTTCCTAAGAGATCAGGCACTGCATTAATAATAAGCAACCTAAGTCCATAAAAAGAAAGTCCTCTCCTCAAATGGATCTTTAATTACAATGATGGTTGATGAGGAGAAAGGTATTTCTTCAAAGCATTCAAGAAAGAAACACACCGCAGTAACTCCATTAAAGAGATTATTAATTCAGTGAAAAGCCTAAAGTCAGTAAAGCACAGTAATGTGTTCCAGAGACTAGGAAGTACACACTTTTATGAATGATAAAGATGAAGAAAAGAACCTGTTTTTAATCCATTAATGATGAACAGCTGTAAAAAGCAATCCAGAAATATTATCCTAATCTATATAACTAGCTCTGTATTCCACTGCCTCATCTCTGTGTGGTCCACTGGACTCATAAACTTTATGAAGCTTATTCTTAATAAACAGATATTCATAAATATATGTATTTTCAATTAAAATCCTTAATATACAGTGTACACAGTTAATGCTTCTGGCTGTAATTCCAGACTACACTACTCAGTCTCTGGTTTACACCACCGCTTGGAAAAATAAAGATTTATTTCCCTCAAGTACAGTTTTGTAGTGGTTAACTAGAAATAGCAGGAAAAATAGGATGATGAGCTATTATGCCATCTTCCTCTGACCTCCACACTAGTATCTTCTACCTTTTATCCCATGGTTCATCTAAGGACACAGCACACTGATAAAAGCTCTCTCTCAATTGAGGAAACTAGTATCATTCACAGGGGGTAACATTGTGCCACTCTCTGTTGAATGGCAGATGTTCAAAGAACTACATTGAAATAATGCACATGGGCTGACAAAATAAAAAAGAAAATAGCCAAATTCTGGATTTTTATTAAAGTTCAATCCTATGCATCACTGTAATTTATTCTTCTGGAAACTCTGGTGCTTTCTTTAGCCTTTCTCCTGGAAATAGAAAGCCTCTCCTCCCACAAAACTGAGGGAGTGAGGGAAGAGACTACTTTCAATGACAACAGGAACCATCTGTCTATTTTCCAAAGTGCTCATAAAATTTCTGTTGATGCTGGTGGCTGTATGTGGTGGCATATTGATAACCCAAGGCCCACAGGAAACCCACCTTTGGTCAACAGTGCCCTGTGGAGCAGCTACTAAATGTCAAACAGTATGTAAGACAAAAAATGTTTTAAATAAAAACAAAAACTTGAGGAGCGTAATCATGGTTGGAGGTAGCAGAGCTATAAGAAGGTTAAATATATGGTCAATGGAATATTGTATACAAAGGATAAACAGAATAAAGATTCATCAGAGGATAATGAGGGAGGAACAAGAAAAGCTGCACACAGGAACTATATTTTTGGGTTTGGGAGGGTGATTAAAATTTTCAAGACTGAGAAGGGAGAAAAAAGTCAGTTTGGGAAAAACAAAGGCAAAACTTCTTGAAGTGCATTTTTTCCCTAGTTATGACACAGTCCTTAGGGGCAGAAGCACCAGCATAAAAGCTGTTAGAATTTAGGCAAGTTTTGTGAATATTAAGACACCACCTAATTAGGCATACCAGTTACATTAACCTCTAAAATGAACACTCACTCTGGTCTCTGCATAATGAAAGATACTACCAAAAGGCTCACAAAAGACATACTAGAGAGCTCTACCAAATATTTCTTAGTTTCTTCCTCCAGATTGATCCTTCACCCACCTTTCAACTTACCCTGTACCCTGGGAGACTGATATTCATGGGCAGCAACAGTGGGCTCCCTTGCCCTCGGGCTTCCAATGAAGCTCGGCAATGGGAGGTATCAGTAGAACATTGTAGGGGAGGAGAAAAATGAGATGAGGATATTTATTGTCCTGATTCCTTCCCTGTCAGGTTCCATTGGTGAGCCCTGTCCCTCTCCCAAAGGCTACACCTCCTGTTAGGCAGCCACTTCTTATACCATAGCTAGTGGTGTAGCCATCCACCTTCAGTTACGAACACGAGAGCACTGTCTCATCTCTTGTTGCCTCCCTTGAGGCTGCCTGTTCTCCCTCACACTCTCCTAAATTATCGTTTCAATATATCATCTGTTTCCTGTCGAGATTTTGACCAAATCAGGTTAGTCTCAGGAAATGGTAACAATGCTTTTTTTTTGTAAGAGACAGAGTCTCATTCTGTTGCCCAGGCTGGAGTGCAGTGCCGTGATCTTGGCTCACTGCAACCTCCGCCTCCCAGTTCAAGCAATTCTCCTGCCTCAGCCTCCCAAGTAGCTAGGACTACAGGCACACACTGCCACATCAGGCTAATTTTTTGTATTTTAGTAGCTATGGGAGTTTCATCGTGTTGCCCAGGCTGGTCTCGAACTCCTGAGCTTAGGCAATCTGCCCACCTCGGCCTCCCTAAATGCTCAGATTACAGGTGTGAGCCATGGTGCCCGGCCTAACAATGCTTTTTTAAAGCACTACCACTGACGGTGTCATCGTTTTCTTCACTCCCATTCCTGAAGTCAATTTTGACTTAGAATATAGGTCCTTCCAATTCTCCAGCCTTTCATAAACAAGTAATTGACCTAGTCTCTTTCCTGGATACAGCTGAGTTTTCAATAGACTCTATTGTTAAATATGTAATAAACGATAAAGCAAAGTTTATAACGTATCATCTTTGTTGATCAAATTACTTTTATAAATTCTCATAATAAAAAAGATTTAACACTTTAGTTTCATTTTTAAAACTTAAAGGAAACTGAGTGTGGTAGCTTAAACCTACCTCCAGCTACTCAGGAGGCTGAGAGGAGAGGACCACTTGAGCCCAGAAGTTTGAAGCTAGCTTGGGCAACATATTGATATTCCATCTTTTATTTTAAAAAGTAAGAAAACTGAAAGAAGGGCAGGAGAAAATTCATGAGAGGAGGGGTAAAAGGGAAAAGTAATCTCAGAATAAAAGTAATAACTATATGATAATTTCGACTCTCATTCTCAGGTCAATAAGTTTACAGTACTTTCTATTTTTTTTATTATACTCCTATACCAATTACATAGAGAATTTTCAAAACTCTCCTGTAAACCACTTTCTAAATAAAACCACATATGTTCTTTTGGGAAAGGGAAGGGTCTCATTCTACTCTTCATAATAGTACATGTTTTATTAAACTATTTCATTACGGAGAAAGCTAGCATTAGGGCTCTATAATGATAGCAATACATCTTTGATCCCAGATGCATATTATTTGTGTTTATAATCATTCTGGGAAGAAAAAAAAGACTTGTCATTTCATCTTGCTGCCTAGCAATAAAAATAACATTTGAAAAGTATGGATTATATTGTGCAGGTTAAGAATCTGGTCCTAGGTAACAAACATAAGTTATTGATACCAATTTTTACCATCAAGGAAAAAAACTCCTACCACAAACACTAAAATAAGCCAAAATTCTGTCATCTCCCAAAAACCACACGTAACACTTGTCTCAAAGCCAAGACATTAGACTACAAGGAACATTTTATTTTTTAAGGAAAATGTGGTAGGTAGAATATTAGAATTATCCCCAGTGATGCATACCCACATACAATTCCTGCTCCAGTGGTGGTGGAACCTGTAATTATGAGGAGATACTACTTCCAATTTAGACTCTAACCTGTTGGAGTTAATCAAAGGGAGATCATCGTGGGTGAGCCTGATCTAATTAGACAAGTGAGTCTTTTAAAGAAGGTGAAGCATTAGACACATTTCTGCTGGATTGCAAGAAGAAAGCAAATTGTTATGTTGTGAACTACGGAGGACTACATTTAAGAACTGGGAACAATCCCCAGACAAAAGCAAGCAAGAAAATGGGGGCCTCCTTTATAAAAGCACAAGAAACTGAATTCCACCCAGAGCAATTTAAAATTAGGTATTTGGAGATTGTTTCAGTTAATAGAAGTCTGGCCTTGTCAATCAACTTTGTAAAAAATTACCTTTCTTTGATTTTCAGCTTCTCTGCCAAAAGTTACCTCAAGTTGTGGGGTCGGGAGGTGGAAGGTAGAGAATCAATCTGTCTTTCATCATTCTCTTAAAGCACAGAAAATTCAGCTCTAATATATTTGTAATATTTTATTTTAAGAAAAGATAATTTGGTATTCAAAAAAGATGCCTAAAAACCATTGCCATAAAGAAAATTCCTGCAAACAGTGAGATGCAATAAGATGATCCTAAGGTTTTCTCAAGTATCACCTCTAAAATTCCGAAAATTTTATATTGTGATGATTATAAGAACAATTACAGGTAATCTTATTGCCAATAAAATAAAAACATTAGTCATGTTTGAAAGAGCAATGTTGTATATGTGTCTTAATTTCTCAGGTCATTTATTTTAGAAAAAAAGTAAACTACTCTGATGGGGCATTGTCAGTATATCTAGCAGACTTAGATTTTTAAAATTATTTTATAGTGCACTTCAATTTGTTATATAAAACAACTCTGATATCTTACACTGTCATGCTTGCTAAGGCAAACTAAAGAGTCTCCACAAGACTCAGGATACAAATAGACTTTTGTATTTAAAAGCCAAATGAACAATTAACAAGCCCTCCCCCCAGCAAATAAACAATTAACAGGCCATACTTTCCTAAATGCATACAGACACACACACACAAACACA